GCACGACCTCATAGTGCAGGTGCTTAATTATTCCAAATAGCACGAGAAAAATTATTTGATTACTAGTTAATAGTAAACATGCAATTCAATTTCAACTTTCAACACCGTTAGGGATTTATTGCCGTGCTCTCAGCCAGTCAACATGCTAAAACTTTTGCATATTTATTATTAAGGGAGTTATTGGGTGAGTAATTTCAAAATCGAAAGTGCGCGCAACGCAAGACCAATTAGTAACTAATCACATCAATAACAAAAATCGAGATGAGGAAGTATTTAAGGAATCTTTCCCACAAAGGGTCAGTAGTTTTTCCCATAAGTCTCACAAACAGTAGAGAAACATTAACAGGGAAGTCGTTAAAACGCACGTAACTGACGTGCGAAAGTCTATAAACAGTGTAACACAAGTGAGATGTAGTACACACTTACCACAATAACCCCATTTTCCCTTGTAAACAGTTTCCAGTGAACACCAAGGTCTTTTCAAAAAAGCTGTGGTGCAGGAGTGATATTTCGATCACTCCCCTGTAAGTGAAAGGAATCCTGCAATATTTGCCATCTGTTGTCCTCTGTAAACACTCAACGTTTGCGGTCGAAGTTGTGCGCAAACGGAAAGAATAATAAAACAAAGTTAACTTTAGAGTCTGAAACTGACTTGCTTACTTTCTCGCTATGTCACAGACAATGAACGAGTCCCCAAGGTAAACATGAAGCGTTGAAAAAGGAAACTGGAACAGTATAGCATTTTGTTATCAAGACTGCTAAATTTTCATGTACGTAAGGGATTGAAGTAACAGCACGGACCAGAGGAGGTTATTTAGAGCAAGCAAGTCCCTGCTAAATTTATCGAAAAGTTCTGGCCTTCCACTATATACTAATGATTATCAGGTGGCTAATGATTTTGGAAAATTCTTCGCCCAAAAAATTGCTGATATCAGGTCTGCTATTACAAACCAGATCTGCCTGCCTGTTACTATCAACACCACTAGTATTGTGACTGCTTCCTGTTTTTCAGAATTTAATCTGTTGTCCGAATCAGATCTGTTTGATCTGATCACAGCTTCTAAGAAGTCTTGCCCTCTTGATCCTATTGCAACCAAGCTTCTCACTGAGTGCGTCGATGTGCTACTGCCTCCAGTCACGCTTGATTCTGGTTATTTTCCGCGCACCTGGAAGTGTGCTCTAGTGCGGCCGCTGCTGAAAAAGGAAGGATTACCCCCTGTCTTTAAGAACTTCAGACCAGTGAGTAATTTGGCATTTATCTCAAAGCTAGTTGAGACTGTTGTTGCCAAGCAACTACAACATTATTTAAATTGTAACAATCTGTTCCCAGTGTTCCAATCAGCCTATCGACAGAACCACAGTACAGAAACTGCACTGCTTAAAGTTATGAATGTCATTCTCCTTAACATGAACAATCAACGTGTTACTTTGCTAATTCTGCTCGACTTGAGTGCTGCCTTTGATACAGTTGATCAAGATACCACGCTACGTCGACTTGAGTACTCATTTGGAATACAGGGAAAAGCTCTTTCCTGGTTTGCGTCCTATTTGTCTGGAAGAAGTCAGCGGATAATGATTAACGAGTCACTATCTAAACCTTTTAACTTAGAATGCGGCGTGCCTCAAGGTTCCTGTCTGGGTCCGCTATTGTTCACGTTGTATACGAGTAAGCTTTTTGAGATCATTAAATATCATCTGCCCATGATTCACTGTTACGCCGATGATTCACAAGTTTACATCTCATTTAGTCCGAACGACAGAGCTGAGCAACTTGCTGTGGTGAGGAATATGGAAGACTGCATCAGAGACATTCGGTTTTGGATGTTGAATAATGATCTTAAATTAAATAACGACAAGACTGAATTCCTCATTATTGGTACATCACAAAAGCTGGAAAAGCTAGACAATATCAGTATTCATGTGGGTGACTCAGATATTCATCCCAAGCTAATCACGAGAAATCTTGGTTCTTGGTTTGATTCTAGGCTGTCCATAGCAACACACATCACAAAAATCTGTGCCTCTTCATTTTACTATATCTATAATATTAATCGGATGAGACAGTACCTTTCACAGCAGTCAACTGAGACTCTTGTCCATGCATTCATAACAAGTTGCCTTGACTACTGCAATGGTCTTTTATATGGATTACCTGATTGCTTGTTAAATAAACTGCAACAAGTACAGAATGCCTGTGCCAGACTAATTTTTAAAGAACAGAAATTTTGCCATGTAACGCCTCTTATTTATGAATTACACTGGTTACCGATTAGATACAGAATCGAGTTTAAAATACTGTTAATTACTTTTAAGATTCTTAATTTTTTAGCGCCTACTTATTTATCATCTCTTATTTCTCTTAGGCTCCCATCCAAATATAATCTAAGGAATTCTAGCGATAAACTTTTACTTAATTATCCATGTATTAAATCAAAAGCTACACTAGGTGACCATTCTTTTACCTGTGCTGCACCGAAACTTTGGTATGCGCTACAATTTGACATAAGAAGCACCAGCACTGTTAGTACTTTTAAAACCAAGCTAAAAACTCACCTTTTCCATCATGCATTTTTATCATAGTTGTTTTTATTATTGTAAGTTTACTTTTAATTGTAATTTAAGCTTTTTAAAATCATTGTAAGTTTACTTTTAATTGTA